TGGTCAAGGAAGGGTATCAAGGAATAAGGAGTGCACAGGCCACTGGGAGGAACTGGACAGGGAAAACAGAGCGCTTGCTGAACTATTCACCTCTCAGGAGAGCTGGAGGACACGAGGACTAACCTGCCATGGCCTACGTCTTTCTTTACACCTTACTGTTTGTGCAATACTAAATATAAAACCATGAGAAAATAGTCCAACACGAATAATGAATCAGTGAAATCTTGAAGGAAATTTCTAAAAACAAGATTGAAGGTTTGTCAGTCTAGACAGGAAGCCTTTGAAGAAAGCCCTTAAACACTCTGATAGGGATGCTGAAGTGTCCCTCTTCACAGCTGATAGCTTCTGGCATGTGGGGGAGAGGGGACACACGCAGAGGCTTATCTTTAAGAGGCTGGCCACTAAGAGTCTGACCATGCTCCAGTGAGTATATGGGCAACCTAAATTGGACTGCAAATATTTTTTCCTTCTTTCTTGGGGGGAGGAAACAAGAGTGGTGATGGTAGGTGGACCTGGAAGGACCGAGAAGTGAGTGTGATAGATGTGCATTGTGTAAAATTCTCAAATAAAAATATTATGTTGAAAAATGAAAAGAATGCAGGCTTTGTTACACTATGTAGCTTACTACATTTTTATAATTATATTGGAATATTGGGAAATAAAGTATGACTCAACAAAGTTTATAGGCATTTTATATTTATATTTTAATATTCTTCTAAATAAAAATTAAGCATATGGTTTTTAACTTTTTAAATGTTAACATTTAGTTTATTTATTATGTATGTTAGAAGACAACTTTTGGGAGCTAGTTCTTGCCTTCCATCAAGTGGCTCCCAGGGATTAGACTCAGGTTGGAGGTTGACAACAGGTGCCCAGCCATACCTAAGCCCGTGGCTGGCCTGCTTCCTGACAATGCCATCGTAGTATACTGAGAAAAGAAGGCATGTGACTTTGGGCCTGGTGCAGAGGAGTAGATCTCAGTCATTTTAACTCCACTGAAACCACAGACACCATGTACCTGTGCTCACCTTTGGTCTCTTCTTTCCATCTTGGCTAATTCCCCTAACCACTTAATGATCAGAAGGAAAAGAACGCAAAGCAGCTCCCTGCAATACTCCCTTGACCCCAGCCTTGCTGCCATAAGATAGCACATTCTACCGTCATGATGACATAAGACATATTCTTCCACGCTCCCATCACTTCTCACAGGGAGAAGCAGGACACGGTACCACATGGGTTCTTTGAGTACATTCTCTTTTTATCATGTGATGACAGCTAGTTCTTATCCAGACACACCCAAGTTTCAAGTCTTTCACTTTCAGCTTGAGTGCAGGTATGTCAAAGTGCTCCACTCTGATCATGAACAGGGAGCCCGAACTGCACAGAGCAGCTCTTCAGAGACTTGAAGCTTCTGATTACTCTCCACAGATTTTAAATATTTTTCTAAAAATAAATATGAAATGAAAAGAGGCAAAGATAAAAGTTTCCCAAAGAATAAGACAGAATTGAGGATGTGTCCAATTTCATGGTATAAAACTTAACACAGCATATTGGTACTATCTATGTACTACCAATGAAACATAGGTTCTCACATAAACCAAAACACTTGGCCTGCTATTCACTCACAACATCGGAGACAGTCTGAAGCATAGCTGCAGGTTAAAGAGTTTCTGTTATTTTTATTTATTTTATTATATGGGTGTTGTGTCTGCATGTCATTTCTGTGCATTTGATCCCCAGAGCCCACAGTAGTAGGAGAAATTGTCTCCTGAAAGTTGTCCTCTGACCTAACATGCATTACAAGAACTCAAGGTCTGTCTGTCTGTCTGTCTGTCTGTGTGTGTTTGTGTATGAATGAGGGGGGAGAGGGAGAGAGAGAGAGGAAGAGAGAGAAGAGGAAGGGAAGGGAAGGGAAGGGAAGGGAAAAGGGAAGGGAAAAGGGAAGGGAAAAGGGAAGGGA